AATGTTTGTGTTGCTTTTTGCATAACATTTTCAGTTTCTTCTTTTAAGGCTGCTGATTTTAATCTTTCCTGTTTTATAGCCTTTATCAGATAAGTGTTCATCTAAAGTTCTCAGAAGGTAATCCTAATAACTGTTGTGTTTCTTGCTTTTACTTGTAGCATGTTGTTTGCTTATACAGTTGGTAAATTTTTATCTTGAGCTTGCCAGTGGGGTTTTATTTGTGGGAATCCCACATTCATTGTCTTTTTGTTCCCTCCATTTGCCTGGGGTTCCAGGAGTCTCACTGGCTTGTGAACCTACTTTTGTGGATTTCTCATCTTGAGGGTCTTGAACTGTGCTGGTAGTATATAAATTCAAATTCTGTACCTGCTGGAGTATGCCTAGGATTACAGGTTTTTATTTTGTAGACAAGTTTGTGGACACTCTTCTCTAGCTTCAGTGTTAAGTTCAGGCCAAGACAGATGAGCTTCTGTATCTTCTTATACCAGTATACTTTCTTTCTTTCTTCCTTTTTTTTTTTTTTTTTTTTTTTTTTTTTTTTTTAAATAGACATTTTATCATTGAAGGAGTAGACTATTCTGGCTGGCTGGCTTTATTCTAGGTAAAGGTGTGGTTGGGTGGGGTGGGGAACAGTGTGTGTGTCTCAGTTCTCATCTCTTGGTTGCCTTTTCTATCCAACTGATAATCAAAACCCAACTTATAATTCCTAAATTTCATTCATACAAAGATTTTTATATTGTTTATCAGATGTATTGCTGGAAATTGAAATCCTCATCATATTCTTTTAAATGTGTGTAGTATTGTATGTATTATTTGATTGCCATTCTCCCTATACTGTAATTGGACATTGATATAACATTATCCTGTGAGTGATGCTTTATTCAGTGATTCATTCAGTCTTTTAACAGATACTTACTAAAGTAAGTAGTTGAGGGTCAAGTATTGTGTTCATGTGCCTGAATGAAAAGATGGAAAATAATGATTTTTTTGTCATGTTTTGTTTTAAATATGAGTCTTTAATATCAAGGAACTCAAAGTTCATTAGGGAGAGATACATAAATAAACCAGTGTGAAAAGATGGCATTAGAATTTTGACAAAAGAGCAGTGGAAGCACAGATTTACAGGAAAATCTCTCTCCAGGAGGCACTGGGGACTCCTGTAACCCTGGATGTACACGAGAACTTTTTTCTTTTTAATTTCTTTTGTAATAGCTTGAACTTTTCAAGGGTGGCAAATAGCGAAGATAATCTTGCTTAGTGTTACACTGGAAATGGTTTTAAGAGGCAACCATGTTTTTAGTAAACTTCTGCTAGAATAATGGCTTTATTGTTGAAACAAAGTACTGGGGAATTGAGACTCTCTCATTTTCTTAGATCAAAAAATTAAAGAAGGCAGTGGGAGTTTAGCTATCACAAATGCTGAAAGTCAGCTTACCTGCATGCCATGATATACAGGCTACTTAAATCTTCAGGCCTTCCATGAGTGTCATATAAAGCATGTCTTTAATATTCATTTTAAAATAAATGTTAAAGGAAAGCAAGCTGTAACAAGTGTTAAATATTGAACTGCAATTACAGTGTTTTAATTTTACCCCATTTTTTTCCTCATGAAAGTTTTAAGAATATTATACTAGGAAGGTTTAGTTTTTTTTTTTTTTTGGTTATTTTAATCAGCAGAATTCGGGGGGGGTGGGGGGGGGAATGGGCAGAGAGAGAATCCCAAGCAGGCTCCATGTTGTCAGAGCAGAGCCTGGTGTGGGTCTTGAACCTATTAACTGTGAGATCATGACCTGATCTGAAGTCGGACGCTTACCTGACTGAGCCATCTAGGCACCTGAGGAAAGTTTAGTTTCTCTTGTTGAGCCCTTCATTTCTGTTTTCATCTTTCTTATAATTATCCATTGGAATTCCTTAATGTGGTTATATACAAAGGTATTAAAATGGTTCTCACTATTGTAAATTGTGCTTTATTGAATAGCTTTACCTGTATAGTTTTTCCTCTATGAGATGAATTTCTAGGACTGAGATTTTAAGCCAGAGTATATGAGCATATCAATTCTGTATTGTCTAAATGTTCCCAAAGAAATTGCTCTAATTAATTGTGTTTCACTACCATTTCCCTTATAGTTGCTTAACTCTTTGAGGATATGTTTTATAGAAGTATTAAATGTCTTTCGCATAATATTCCTAATGATGATAGCATAACTTACTTTAGAAAAGAATATGTATCTGCTTTTGTGAAATGAGATTCATTAGTGAGAAGTTGACACTTTGATTTTAATCCTTTGTTCGTTTAGTTAAAAAGTACTGGTTTCTTGGTGTGAATACCATTGAGAAGGTGGGGTGTTTAGGAGATGTGCCTGCACATCTAACGTGCCTGCAGTTTAATAATTTAGTTCCATGACCTCAAGCAAGGAACTAAATCTACACATTTCAGATTTCCTGTTTGGGTATTATATTAAGAAGCAATATCCTTGTTTTTGGATTTTAATTGCTTAGAAAGAAGCAATATACCTGTTTTGGGAATTAAACCCAAAGATTTAAATTTAAAGATTAACTGTCTTCAGAAGTTTCAGAATGAATTTAATTAAGAAGAGAGCTGTTGTGATGTTGGTAATAATTATGAATGATTGTGTCATTTGTAGCTCTAGGAAAATTAAATAGTAAAGTATGTATTTGTCTTGTTTAATTTGAACTTTTCCTGTGTGCAAAACACAGAAAGGTTTTGAGATACATACTAAGAATATAAACTTAGTTTGTATCTAAGGATTTAATGTTTGTGTGATATCATATGAGATCTTAAACTTCACTTCAGCATTAAATAACACTGATATGTAGTACATTTACAAATAGTTTCTTTAAGGTATGCTTTACTGTACTTTTTTTAAAGTTAAAACCAGGCAGAGAAAACTTGATTCTTTACTGTTAGAGTTTAAAAATGTGTAATGTTTATTTCTGGTCTATAGTACTTCATTTTCAGTAAATAATAGTAAAAAAAATTACCTATTTGAAGAGTAGATTGAATACATTTCCTGTAACAATTTAATTAAAATCTTTAACACTAGGGGGCACTCTTGACTTACGGATTCATATCTAAATTAATCTTCATGCATAGACTGTGGAATGAAATGAAATTATCTGAAAACATGTTATTGCAAACTGAATGTTGACTTCAGAGAGAATTTGCATTATCAAGCTAATTTTATATGGCAGTGTAAAGAAAAGTTGATCTTAATAGTGGCATAAGAATAATGAACCTTATAAAATGAAATGCCGTAGATTGGAGGAAATGAAAGTATTTCAGTGCTCTGTTCACTTTCACGTTGACTTTTCTAAGTGGGTTCTAAATGGTTTTAAAAACCCATTATTTCTAATATCTTTCTCATTTAAAAAAAGTCTAGCACCACGTTTTGCTCTTAGCAGGTATTTAGTATATATCTGAAGAAATGAAGATAGTCTTAAGATATGACTGAAGGATGCAAACTAGCAGTAAATTTTAAGCATTTGAAAACCAAAATGTTTTGCTACATTCAGGAGACCTATTTTAGGCGTGTTTTCATTCACTGTGTTTTCAGTTGGGATTTTGGAGATGCCCACCAACATGTATTTTGCCAGAGATGTATTTCTAAGGCTTTTGTCTTAATTCAGAGACTGTGGAACTTAAGCTTTGTGTGGATTAAGTAGACAAAATCTGCATCATCATAATTGCACACTTATCACGTGTCAGCACTGTTGTGTGGGCTTTGTATATATTCATTTCTCCTCATCACAACTCTGTGAGATAGGCACTTACTGTTACCTTTGTTTAATAGATAAGGAAACTGAGCCCAGAAAAGTTAACAGTTTTCTGGGTTCAAACTTAGGCAGTCTTGTTCTAGAGTCTGCTTCTAAATCACTGTCCTCTATTGCTTATCCGGAGAGAGGAAACTTAGCATCAAGAGAATTATTGTTATTTTAGACTCAGTTTTTAAAGCCAGTGTAATTTAAAACACCTAATTTATAGATACTTATCATTTCTCTTATGAAAAAGGATCATTGAAATTCAAAGTTAGAAAGGGGACTTAGAGTCCATTTGCCTCTGTCATTTTATAGAGAGGAAGAAATTCCATCCTAGACAGAAGTTACCGACACAGCGTTGTCCAGCAAGTTACTTGTGGAAAGGGATGCGAAGCTCAAGTAAATATCCTGGCTTACAATGAAGTGGAAAGAAGTGTGATGTTGTAGAAATAATATTTGACTAGAATTTTAGATGGCTCGAATTTTATTCTTGCCTCTCCTCATTTACCAGCCTGCATCATCAGAAGCTCTGTTTCTTTGTGCTGTGTGAGTATAATAATGTCATCCTTAATTTAGTCTATTGGTAGTTGTGAAGGTCAGTGTGATAATGATTGAAGATATTCAGTAAACTTTAAAACCCTATACAAATAAACAAACGTATATTGTGGTATTTTTATGACACGTTCTGTAATCTTTTATTTTTAATTACTTGCATCTTTGTAAACCAGTTTATCGGCAATGACAAACTTACTTAGTATTGCTGATTTATAGATGTCTTTCAGATCTCTAAAAAATGTATTGAGTTATGCCATGTGTTACTTTGCCACATGGTGTTTTACACTTTTTATTTACTTAAAGCTAAAAAAGGTTTTTGAATTTTTCTCACACTAAGTGAAAAATTATACTTCCGCTTTATGGATGAAGAACATAACAATAACGTGTATCGAATATTGCCCATGTGGTGTTTCTGACCATTTGGAAATAGCATCCAGGATCGTCCTCAAGCTGGATATAGTGACTTAACTGAAATAAAAATAAAAAACTTCAGTGAAGTTGAAGTGTTTTATTTCTTGGCATGGTGATAGGCGTGGATTTGCTCTCTTAAACGTCCAGTAAGACATAGAATAAACATTTTCTGTTTATTTTTTACAGGAATAATAATGTATTTGTGGCCTTGGACATGAAGCAATCAGTCTTCTGTTACTGTTAACGTAGTGTCAAGGACTGATGTTGTGGGAAGCATGGACCTAATGAACGGGCAGGCAAGCAATGTTAATATTGCTGCTACTGCTTCTGAGGTAAGAATTTTTAGAAGTTTAGCTGTAGAGTTTCTTACCTGGCATTCTAATTTTTCAAGCATTATGGTTGGTCACAGATTTAACTCAGAATTTGAGAAAAGGGCTACAAATTTTTTAATTTTTAAAAAGCTTTTGTTTTTTATTTTTAAATGTTTATTTGAGAGAGAGGGAGGGAGGGGAGAGGGAGGGCGCACACAAGTGGGGGAGGGGCAGAGGGAGAAGGAGACACAGGATTCAAGCAGGCTCTGTGCTGATAGCCTAGAGCCTGATGTGGGCTTGAACTTACAAACCTTGAGATCATGGCCTGAGCCGAGATCGAGTGTCAGACGCTTAACCAACTGAACCACCGAGGCACCCCCCACCAAAACTGTTTTAATTGTTCCATTCATGTGTTCTATACATCTTAGAAACAGGTAATCCTTATTCACTTAAGGTATGTGACAAATGATTACTTAAAACTTTTTCTTGGGTTTAGTTAAAAAAATTTTTTTTGATGTTTATTTTTGAGAGAGAGAGAGAGAGAGGCCAAGCATGAGCAGGGGAAGGGCAGAGAGAGAGGGGAAGGGCATAGAGAGAGAGGAAGACATAGAATCCGAAGCAGGCTCCAGATTCTGAATTGTCAGCACAGAGCCCGACATAGGGCTTGAACCCACAGACTGCGAGATCATGACCTGAGCTGAAGTCAGACGCTTAATCGACTAAGCCACCAAGGCGCCTCTTGTGTTTAGTTTTACAGGATACATAGAATGTATATATACATACATAGACTGTCTTTTTAGGGTATTTTTACATTGCATGAACCTTGAGGACAATAATACAAGTGAGAATAAAAGATTCTTTTTTTTTAGAATCACGTAATTTTGACACTGTCCAGATCCCTTGATTCCCAGTCTCTTAAAGGAGATCAAAAACCATTAGGCTGAAATGTTGGAAGGGGTGTAGCTTAGAGTGTAAAGATGGAAGTGAAGACTGAACTAGATGCCCATCTCTAGTTAATGTGTTGGGATTTTATTTGTGCCTCACAGTTTTTCTTTTTTGCTTTACCTTTAAATCTAGAGTATTTGCCTTCTTTCCTTAATAGCTTAGCAAACAGCTCCTCTATTTCTCCTTTATTTTTCTCTTGTTACAGAGGATGAGAATAATGTTTATGACCTTTTAACACATTGGCCTCAAAGTTGCTTAATAACTTCAACTCCATTTTGTCCCAGCCAGTTACTTAGGCCTTGCTGTCAGTGAAAATATTCTAAGTCTGTGGTTTCGATTATTTTTCTCATGCTGATGATTTCTGTATTTCTGTCTCTAGCTCTTGCTTCCCTCATACATTTTCATTAAGCATTTCTGATGAACCAGACATTTTATGTATAATATGAACAAAATCCAAGTTACTTGTTACTGTTCTGCTCTACAACCTGTAAAGAAAATAGTCCAACCCCTTTCTCTGACTTTTGTTAATAGCGTTACCAATTTCCCATCACTGTCTATATCAACACTATTTCCCTAGCCATCTAAGTTTGATATTTAGATTTGTCATTAACTCACTTCTCCTTTGTGTATCACAACCCATTTTCTCATCACAGCAGGGAGAATATGCGAGCAGAACAGAAGTTCCAGTTCTGTAATGTAACCACGCAAGTGATACCCCATTCTCTCTGCCACATTCTGTTGGTTAGAAACAGGTCACAGTGCTGCCCACACTCAGGTGGAGGGAGCTCCACAGGATGTGAGCGCCAGGAGTTGCAGACACTTGGCAGCTGTTGTAGAGCCTGTCCCTCACTCCTCCTCTCTAGGATCCGGCCCTTTTCTCCTTATTTCGACCAGCACCATCTGAGTTTGGTCATTATTTCTTGTCTAGATTATTGCAGCAGGCTTTTAGCTCGGTCTTGCACTTCCATTCTCTGCTATTTTGGGTCCGTTTGACTATAATTCAACCTTAATGTTCTTAAAATACAGCTCTTAAGCTTTTTTGTATCCCCAGATTGTCCATGGTTCCCCATTGCCTGTTAATTAAATGCAAATGACCCTAAACCTTTTATTTAAGACTTTCCTCATAATGGCTCTAAATTTTCTTTTTAATAGACTTAACTACTGATAATTATCAACTTGAAATTTCATTCTAATGAAAGAATACTACATCTTGCTGATGTTTGTATAAACCATTCTTTTCCTACTTTGGTTACAGCCTTGTCTGTATTAGTTTTTCTACATGGAATTTCTCTTCTCACTCCAGTGTGCCTCTTCCTCTCACTGCACAAAAAAAATACATTTTGTCTGTCTTTCAAAACCTATTTCAAATGTCATACTTTCAGTAAAGTCTCTTCCTGATCCCCTCAACAGATAAGAGGTTTCCTATTTTGAAACTATCACTTAAAAAATCCCACTTTTAAAATAATTTTTTTCAATAAGTGTATATCACTTTAATTCCTCCTTGAGACAGGGATTATATTATTATATGTTTGTATATATGTTTATATTACATACATATAATATATCATATATGGATGTTTTTATAACCATATTTTTGAATATGTTAAGTGTATATGTATATATATATAGGATATTTATAACTATATATCCTGAAACATTTGGTCTAATATTGCAGGAAACAGTACACAATTATTTGTTATATAAAATAGATCATTTTACTGTAAAAAAAAAAAAAAAAAACTGCCCTAAAAGTGAATGAATTACATCAGGCCTCGGAGTAATACAGTTTAGCATATGGTAAGTGGAAAAGGCTGTCTTTTAAATTGTTCTACACTGTGGTAAGAAAGTGAAATTTAAAAATACATATTTTTTGCCTTTTCTTAAAATAGAGATCTATTAATATAACAAAATGCAAAGATCCCATAAGTCTGAGAAGCTTATTAAATGGATAAAATACTTGATCTGTGTGATTGACTTCCCTGTCTTAGTACCTTTATAGTTAACCTGTACCAAAGCTTCTGAGATCAGAAGAGTTGCAGTGAAATTTTTCTTTTCCAGATATTGAGAGGTGTCAGTGGTTTTAATCTTGTCTTGAATATAGAATTACTACTCTTCCCTTAGTGGACGTTATACTTAAATACTGTGTAGCTTATCAGTACCAACTTCTTTATTGGTATTGGGGAAGCAGATAGATATCCCTCTTAATTTCTTAAGCTTCTCCTCTAAAGGCTTGTAAGGAGGAAAAAAGGAAAGTGATTACTTGTATTGATAAGCAATAAAATTGCCTTTATGATTTGCTAACTTGTCTTGAGTGAGTTAAAAACTTGGAGAAAATTGCCAAGTTATGTTTAAAATTAATGTCTCCACTTGACAATGTATTTGGTTATTGGGGCAGTAACTGATGTCTGTTTGAATGTTTGACATTATAAGTAAATTTCTAAATTAGTCTTGGGATATAAAATAATGATGTTGACATACTATAATCAGAATTACAGAGAATAAGCACACAAAATGCTGTTAGGAAAAATGATTATGGGACGTTGGGTTTCTGCTAGATATGTAGAGGTTGGAATTCATCACTCCTGTCCTCACAACATGAAAAAAAATGAACAAACTGAAAACCAGGAACTCTTCTTAGCTCTCTCAGAAAATTGATGTCACAGAGCAAACTGACATTGATGACCCAAAAACTGGAGAGAGGCAAATAGGAAATTAATTTACCAAGAGTATAAATCACTCTAGCCAGAAACGGGTAGAAAAACTTAAGCTGTAGTTGACAAATTGCTGGAGGCATTGTGTAGACTAGCAACTAGCTTGAAGTTAGAAACTCCTGAAGGCCCAGTCTTAGGTTCTCCCAACCCCCACTTTAGTGTTTTACCTCCAGAAGCTCTACCAGGTTCTCACAGTGAAGATCAGAGAAAAATACCCTCCTGCTTCTAGCGAGGGGAGGGGAAAATAACCATTCTGAATTATACCCAGTGCATTCTCTTCTCCCCTGACCTCAAGGGAAACTCCTTTACCAGAGACCTACTTGGGGCAAGAGAAATACCCAACACTAGCCCCCTCCCGCCTTTCTTTCTCATTTTCTCAGGGATCAGCAGTGGTGGTGGGGTACTGAGAAGTACTTGAGGTCACAGCCCAAGGGCATAGGCTCACAAAAAGACCTTATAGAATACTCCCCCCCCCCCCCCCCCCTCCCCCCCGTACTTCACCACCACATCAACAGGGCTCCTGTATAATAGTGAAGGATTATAGCAGAAGGAACTGCAAGACACAGATTCTAAGAAGGAGTTTCTAGGGAAACCCAAAGACAAAAAGAAGGACACTAGAAGAATTGAAGAGTAGACACATCAAATACAATAAACAGTAAACACAGCATAACTCCTACCTATAGAAACATAAATCCTTATACTGAAGACCTGTTTACCTCTCAGTTCCTATTACCCAGTACATTATGTCTGGTTTTCATAAAATTACAAGGAATGCTAAAAGGTAAGAAAAAGACATAGTCCGGACAGACAAAGCAAGTACAAGAGCCAGACTCAGGTCAGATATGGCAGAGTTTTGGAATTCTCTCTGGATAATTAAAATAACCATGATTAATAATGCTAAGGGCTCTAATGGAAAAAATGGACAACTTGTAAAAACAGATGGACAATGTAAGCAGGAATACTGAAAGAAACTATTAGAAATCAAAAACTTGGTGACCAAAATGGAGAATGACTTTGGCTCACCAGTAGACTGGTGGCCAATAGTCAGTCAGCGAAAGAATTAGTAATCATGAAGATATGTCAGTAGAAACATCCGAAACTAAAATGCAGAGAGAAAATAGAATGAAAAAAATGGAGTAGAATATCCAAGGACTGGGACAATGACAGAGGGTGTAACATACACGTAATGGAAACCAGAAGAAGAGAAAGGGGCAGAAGAAATATTTGAAGTAGTAATGGTTGAGAATTTTCCCAAATTAATGACAGATCCTTTCCTTTGAAATGATTTTGATACTTAGCTGCTAATGAAGGTGAGAGAAAACAGAAAAATGAGGCATAATGACAAGTGTTCAAAACTGATGGATAACAGCTGGTAGTTTGACATACATATTTATACATTGGCAACTGAAATTTGGTGAATTTTTTTGTGCCGTTAACTGTAGCCACTATTTAATAGAGCATGATCTAATATGTTCTTACAGCAATGATGCTCTGATTTCAGCCAACTGAGGCAGAGTACATTTTTATCTCGTGGTACAGATGAAGTGGAAATTGAACAGAAATAAACTTTTCAGAGCCAAAAGCCACCTATTGTTTTATATGTAATAACAGCAAATTCAAACTTAAAATAGTAACCTTAAAACAGAAAACTGTTAACTTTGTAGTATAATGGGAAGAATAGTATCAATTGTACTATTGCAGACAGACATCACTTAACAAATATGATCGGATTACTTAGTTAATGAAGTTCTGAATGTTTTATGATTTAGGTTATGAAAATAATTTGTATTTTTCTTTAAAACAATAGTTTAAAAATTATAAACAGAGGTATTCTTCTCCCCTAACTTGCCTTTACCCCATTTGAGAATCATAGAACTTGTTAAAATCTTTTATTTCTGTAAGAAATGATAGGATGTCAGGATGAGGACACTGACAGACAAGAAAATGACTCATGTAAGAACCTAGAAATTTAAAGAGATTAGATTTTTCAGTTGTCTGAGCCTTTTATCTGGTGCTTTTCCAACTAAGCAGCGTGTTGTACCCGGTTTTTCTACTGTGTTTGTCGACCCACTGTTTTCAGTTTAATGCCAGTGGAGTTTCTGTGGCACTGACTGTGAGACAGTATTAAAATGGCTGCATTTTCTTTCAATTTAACAGAAAAGTAGCAGTTCCGAATCATTAAGTGACAAAGGTTCTGAACTGAAGAAAAGCTTTGATGCTGTGGTATTTGATGTTCTCAAGGTTACACCAGAAGAATATGCGGTAAGCCTCCTGCCTCCCCTTTCTCCAGTTTTTGCACATAACTTACACATTGATGCTATTGAGCTAGAATTTGTACAGCACAGCAGAAGGAGGTGGTTAAAGAAAACTGGCTAGGGGCATTGATGGAGAGACTAGTACAGCAGTGGAGCAAACAGGAATGATGAAATGGGGAAGGGAGAAGGGCTGGGGAGAGGTTTAGAGCAGCTTCCTATGTTACACTCTCAGCTTGGCAGATAATAATACTTCCCACCTAAAACTAATGTAACATTGTGTGCTACTCAAAAACAAAAACAAAAACAAAAAAACAACACACACACACACACACACACACACATTAGGAAAAAAAAAAAGTGAGTGCTTACCTTTGAACTGATTGTTCTTGTCCCTCCCTGTACCACCTCCCCAAGCCACTGTGCTTTATTGACCTATGTAAGAAGTATTTTGACTTTTTTGTAGACTAAAAAACTGAAAAATGAAATTTGAAGGCATTATTGTGATACCATGAAAGATACCTAGAAAAACTTCTATTTCTTAACTGACATAAATGTTCATTTATTTAATTTCTGTTTCTCCATTAACTTGTTAACAGCATCTGTTGATTTTCTGATGTTGAACCACTCTTGCATTCCAGGAATAAACTATATTTAATCATAACATGTTATTCTTTGGTACGTTATTGGGTTTTGTCTTCTATCTGTAGCCTTAATTGAGATAGAGATAGGGCCATAGCCATATGCAGCCCTTAGGTGTGAGTTGCCACTACCAGTACAATTTCATTGATTTTTATAAATGGGGAAGAAAACCTTTTTATTAATATTAGATTTTATATTACTGTTAGGGGGAATACAATTTAATTTTTTTTTTCAACGTTTATTTATTTTTGGGACAGAGAGAGACAGAGCATGAACGGGGGAGGGGCAGAGAGAGAGGGAGACACAGAATCGGAAACAGGCTCCAGGCTCTGAGCCATCAGCCCAGAGCCCGACGCGGGGCTCGAACTCACGGACCGCGAGATCGTGACCTGGCTGAAGTCAGACGCTTAACCGACTGCGCCACCCAGGCGCCCCAGGGGGAATACAATTTAATAGTCACAATAATACTGCTCTATGAACCAGTAGATCTTATTTTTGGTTTTGATTTTGATTTTGATTTAATGTATAACTGTCCAAATTTTTAAATTATCTTTCTTTTCTTTTTTTAAAACATTTGTTTATTTTTTCAAAACCACACTCAGATACTACCTCACGCCAGTCAGAGTGGCCAAAATGAACAAATC